TAGTGAGTGAACAAGGAGAAGTCTGAGAGACAGAGAAGCTTTGGTGATAGAGATGATTTGGACAGAAGGTCTCAATCAGAATACCTTGGTGTGGTGTTCTGAGGTCTTCTTGTCAGAACCCTTTCTGAGGTTTTCTGTTGACCTTCGAACAGAATCCTTCACAAGGTCTTCTGTTGAATTTGTAAGGTGATAATAACCTAGAGACTTCTATTTGGAAGAGGAGTTCTTAGTGAAGGATGAAGAAGACTTCTAGAGAAAAGGGGATGTCTTTGGACGAGAGTATAAACGAGCAGTAAGCTTAACATAGAGGTGATTTGGTGTGTGCTTTGTTGACTGAAAATGAATCAACACACAATATATCCTGGTTCAGAGGTGGTGTAATCCTCCTACATCCAGTCTCACCCTCTTTCAGATGGATTTCCACTAAAGTATTAAGCCCAATACACTTAGTGCCCGTCTGACTGTTATCATCCAACTAGCTCAGACCTGAAGGTGTTTCACAAAGAGTACACACCACTCCAAGTTACTCAGTCCTTAGATTTTCTCAATTGATCTAGTGGGGATCAAAAGGTACTCTATTCTATTCTACCACACTTAGGACTAGATAACATTGTCTTTCTAAGTGTTTACAACATTTTCACAAGTAATAAAATTTCTAGCCTCCAACTAATAACTAAACTTCCAAAGTATGGCAATGAGTGTTCTGGCTGGGAAGTTTAGTGAAGCATGAGTCTAAACAGAGAGCTGAGTTTAAATGAGCACTTTCTATTATGCTGGGTTTCTCTTTGAATGCTTGGTATAATTTCTCTGTTTAGAAGACTCTCAAAAGATTGAATATGAACTCATGCTTGTGCCTTTATTTATAGGCATCTCCGGTTGATTAATCTCCTCCGTTGGTTGAGAGGATTTAATCTTTGTCGTCGAAAGAAATGTACTTTCGTCTTCTTGTGTTAAGCAGATTATCTTCTTCAGACGCAATTGGATCAATTTGTAAGTAGGATATGTAAACCCATACCTTAGGCCTTGTACGTACTATTCACCTACTTGTAGGTTTTGGCTTCTCATGCAACTCTGCATGTGTAGTGTCTCGTGATTTTATAGATATAGTGGACTTAGTAAATTTGTGACTTTAGTCTTTCTGTGTCAAATAATTTTGTACTGGTAGGACTTAAATATTCTTTTAAGGTAAAGGAAAATTACCTTATTGCTTTTTATATTTACAGTACAATTTATTTGATACAAAAAGTGTACATGTAAAATTGGTCACAATTTTACTAGTGACAAGAATAATTCTATAACAAATAAAAACATACTGGTTGGATTTGAATATCCTTGTAAGGTAGAATTTTACGTTATTGCATTTTATACTTCCAGTATATTTAATTTGACATAAAATTGTACATTTTAAATCTTGTCACTTTACATTGTATTTTTAGTACCTTCTTTTCAAATGATTCTTTTGTTTCTTTTTGTTTATGGTACGGTGAATACTCTATCCAATTTTGGAGCACACTACAATTTACACAATAAGCAGATAATTTTGGAGCACACTACAATTTACACGAAACGTTATGTATCAAATTATTTACCCAGATTCATTTCAATCCAAAACGAGCAAAAACTTGCTACTACAATTATTTCAGGTGGCTCTAGACCTCTTGTGGGGGATGCATTAGTAATTATGGGAACACTTTTCTTCGCATTGAGTAATGTTGGTGAGGTTAGTGAATCCAACTCCTCTTGTTTGCCTTATAATTATAGGGAAATATTAGTGTTTTGATGACTATTTATTTATTTAAAGCCTCTAACCTGTCTATGAGACATGAGTTTTGTGTGAAGAAGAAAGATCCGATTGTTGTGTGAAAATGCGTATGGCTTTCTTTTTCAGAGTAGTTGTGTTGACTGGAAATTTTCCAGATGACAAGTGTACCAGTGATCTAGGAGCTGGAGAAGTTGCAGTTGCCTCTTCATTGGCCAAAATAGTTGCCTCTGTAATGACAAGTGTACCATTGAGCTTTTTCTTCTTCTTTATTATCTTTTATTGTGGGGTATGCCCCCTTGAATAATGTAGTATGTACATTCACATGTACGAGGGAATTTTAGATATAATAAAAATGTTTGAATTTTTTATTATTGTCTTTATTATCTTTTATTTATTAGTATTAAATTATGTGCATGTGTGTATTGCAATCAATGTATCATGTGTATGCTTTCATAGTACTAGTGTGTCATTGAGTTTTGTGATACCGTAGTGTCATTGAGTTTTCTGATGTCATAGTGTCATTGAGTTTTGTGATATTGTGGTGTCATTAAGTTTTGTGATACTATAGTGTCATAATTTGGTGATACGATAGTGTCACAATTTAGTGACACTTTTAGTGACACTTAAAAAGTGTCACTATTCTTCACTTTCATTGACACCTTTTTAGTGTCACAGAAGCTTTCAGTGACACTAATTTGGTGTCACTGTAAGACATTTTTCTAGTAGTGACTTTACTTCTGAAATATGCCTTGCACCATAAGTGATGGATATTTCCTCAAGTCCTTTCCAGCTTCACTATCAGCCTTGTCTAGTTATGCTAATGCATCCTTCACATGTGCATCACATGTGAACTTGGCACACTTCCAAAACAATTTTCTCATGAGCATGCTCCTATGTGATTTGCTCCAATTAGCATGTATGTGCCTAGCACAGTTTCTGTGCTCGGCCTTAGAGAATACATTAGCAATGACATTTGAAAGACCCTCCATATATTCATTAAATTGCACAAAAGTCAGGTTGATTAGTGGTTAAATATGATATTGTATATAAATATTTGATGTTATAGGGACTGAACTTTTGTTGATAACTAATTAGAGTCCACAAATGTGGGCTATTAATTAATATGCAAATATGTCTTCAATAGGTCTAAAAACCAAGTCCAAGAAGAGTTACGTTGTTCTCTATCTCAACCACAACCCAAGCTATTGGGTACATTTGATTATTCACATCGCACCCAACGTAACTAATTTTAATATCTCTCCAAACCATGCTCTACAAATATGTCACATTGTGTCATTGTCCACAAGTTGTAGCTCTATCTATCAGGTCAAGTGTGGTTTCATCATTGTACAACTCACACAACTCATCCTCCATAGGATCACTTGGTTTTTTATAATACAATGCTTGAATATTACCATAACTTCTAGACTTTAAGTACATCATTAAATGAGGAAAACATATCAATGAACATAGATAGGTCAACACAGTGAATCATAAAACATGTTATGGTACTCATACAGACTGCGATACTTGAAGTAATCAAAACAAGGCGAACAATAACACATAGGGAAAGGTCCAGAAAACAGGTCGTGGTATCCAAAACCCTACCAAATTACATGTAGTTATTAGTGTTCTGACCGTCTGGCTCACACTTGCATTCACGAACAAGTTATTGCCATTGACAGGAGTACCATTTCAACCTTAGCGCTAAACTTTGAGCCGTTTGGGAAGAACGGGAGAACTCTGAGAAAGGGAGCTGAGTAACAATTTCAAACCCTTCAAATTTGGGCTGACGTGGAGAGAATTGAAATGTAATTGATTATTCATTATTATTGGAAATGTTTATTTGAATCCACGTAAGCGAACACATCAGAGGGTAACTGGGGAACCAGCTGGCAACCGCCCAGAATGCTAATTTGACGAAAATTTGAAACAATGTGGACCTGATTGCTTAAATTTAAAGTACATGGACTCAATTAACTTTTTGGTTAAAGTAAGTGGACCAATAATCTGACAATTTTCCCTTCTAAATATTTATGCTCTAATAATAATAATTTCTTTTGAACAGCCACTAATCATAAATTTTTAATTTTACTGCGTAGTACTACATACTATCGTGTATAATACTTTCAGATTCAAATAATAAAACTATTACTCCGTAATATATTCATTTGTGTTGTTATACGTACTAGCTCGTATCAGGGCCGGTCCTGATATTTTATGGGCCCGGGGCGATTGAAAAATGAAGGCCCTTAAATATTATATAAATATATTGCAAAAGCTTAACTTTATATACGCAAATTTCAACATACAAAGTAATGTAAGTCTTTCATCAAAGTCTTAATATATAAACTAAACGAATAAAAATTATATTAAAAAAAATAAAACCAGATAATTACTTGTGAAATTTCAAATTTCAAATTTGGAAGATATTTTTGAGAAAATTAGGAGAGTGTTGATTGCTGAGCAAAACGAATTAAAGTCCAAAGATGAAACCTTGAAATTAGGCCTGTCTAACGGGAAATGATGTCAGACCGGGGCCATTTGAGGCCCTTCCCGATAGAATTTTTTCATGAAATTTTTTAAATATATTCTTCATGAAATCTATAATATCTCCACAAAGTTTAAGATTAAAATTCTACCTGAAAGTCAGTTAAATAAATTATTGAAAGATAGTGCGCATTATTTATATACACAAAGCGCAAGGTGTTTCAATATTTTATTTAACTGACTTCCCGGTTGATTTTTAAACTAAAATTTTGTGAATGTAATTTACACTTGATGAAATATACTCTAAAAAAGTTTCATAAAAAAATTCCTCCATAAAAGGTCCTAAATGACCTCGGTCTGATATGAATTGTCCTCTCTATATTTATCCATTTATATATAATTATGGGCCCCTGTAAATGTTGGGCCCGGGGCACAAGCCCGGCCTGCCCTTGTCCAGGGCCGGCCCTGGCTCGTATAGTCGTATATAATTGTAGTAGTTCTTATCATTGATACACCGGTGAAATTAAAATTTAAGGTTTTTCAACATAAACTATTAATACACGAAGTATTGCCAATTTAACATAAGGAGGCTAGAAAATTCCAGGTTCTCAACATAATTGCATGCATAATCTATTCGATTATGAACAATTTTGTAGGTATCCGTGTGGGATTATAATACGTCCGGACTTCTCGCATATATATATATATCGAGCCTCGCCTTGGTTGATAATACGTACTAGTCGTTAGCTAACGTCGTCATCTTCGATTTCCTCATATACTTCGTATATATATATATATATCTTTCGCTGTGCGTGAAATTAATCTGGAGCGCCGCCGGCGCATATATAAATAGTTAGTATATGTCGTTCTGCAACAGTGGTGGTGTGGCGGAGGACGGAGGTGAAAGCGCGACCAATGACAGGGCGGTGGTGGATAAATACTTCAATGAGATACCTGTGGGTTACCGGTTCGTGCCGACGGACGAAGAGCTGGTGGTTCACTACCTGAAGAACAAGATTCTGGGGAGACCCCTTCCTCGCAACAGGATCCTCACCTGCAACATTTACGAATCCCATCCCCAGATTCTTTTTAGTAAGTCTACTCATTTAATTATATTATAATTAGCGTTCGCATTGAATATAATTTGTATGGACCCGGCAATTTAGGGTTCGTACGGCAAGTCAGCGTTTAATTACTACAAGTTCATGGAAACCCTAATTAAGCCTTAATATTTTTGGAAATTCTTCACACACAAAAAAAAAATGTATCAGGTAATTGAACTCAATACTATTTCATACATATCGAGCATTAATTTAACGGGAAATATAGTTTTTATTTCAATAGGTCAATGAAATCATGAAAAGGAGGGCAACAAACTAATTATCAATTCTAGATCTCAAAAAATTGTCTTAGGGTTCAAATGTTTAATTAAAAATCATTTTTAAAAATCTTTTGAGTAATTTTTAACTTCACTAGATTAATAAATTAAACTCTTGTGAAAAAAATTGTTAAGATCCGGGGTTCCATCCTAAAAGGTAAACCTGATATATGAGGAGTAGCCTAAAACCTAGCTTATATAGTGTGTTATTGGTTTATAGTTTTTCAGTGTGGGACAAATACTTTAACACGCCCCTCAGCCGGAATCGGAATGGACAATATTGTGGTGTATAAATGAGCCAAACAGACCCGCTATCCGTAAATATGGGTGTAAACAAGCAGTCAAACCACAACCAAAATTGTCTTTGATACCATGTTAAGATCCGGGGTTCCATCCTAAGAGGTCAATCTGATAGGAGGAGTAACCCAAAGTCTTATATAATGTGTTATTATTTTATAGTTTTCCGGTGTTGGACAAATACTTTAACAAAAATTCACCAAAATTTAAAAATAAAAAAGTATACTACATATAAAAGATGATAGAAACTGTACAAGGCATTCCCTAGACAGTTATGACAGTAAGCCCCAGGAATAGACATATTAAAGAATTACTCAACTCATACAAAGCAACCTGATTTGCTAGACACAAAACAGACAAACTTAAGCCTAACATGATAGGAACCGAAATACTGACCATCAAAAGTACTTCCAAAATCCAAATATCCAAACCAAACATACTCGAAGTAAAATAAAAATAAATACTACTAAAGGAAAAATAAAATTGAAATAAATTCTTTTTCGCAAAACATTTCTTGGGACGTTGGTGGTTCTGGAGGAGCACGAGCTCTACCATTTCCCACGTAGCCCAAAAAGTACTCTATATTGAAATAAAGCATTTTGCTGTTAAAAAATAACACACTACAACATTTTAACCCCTAATGTATCACCCAAAAGTGTTACAATATCACTAAAATATGTTGCATTAGAGAAAATGTAACACCAATTTACCATTACATTTGTTCATGTTGCATTTTATATATTGTAACACTGTACAGTCCCTAATGTAACATATATACTTCTAGAAAGTGTTACATTAGGTCTATATATGTGTAACGTTTTTATAGATGTATTACATCTTTAATGTTACGTTAGGTCTAAAAATGTAGTAGCGACTACAACATGACTTTTTAAAAATTACTCCGTACTTGTTAGAGTTGGGAAATAAATTAAAGTTCAATCCAAAAATAAAGTCAAAACGTCATCTTCATTTTGTAATTAATAATTTCCGGACATATAAATAAGTGTTTTTTTACTAGTACTCAGTATATCTTTTGATGAATATAAGTGATTAAAACTTAATTATGCATGGAATATGTATATAGGGATGTACGGTACAATAAGAGAAAGTGCATGCTATTTCTTCACGACAAGGGAGAAGATGAATGCAAATGGGTCAAGACCCAAAAGAAAAGCAGTGAATGGGTACTGGAGGGCTAGCGGGCGTGACGAACCAGTCCGGAGTAGTAAAAACAACCAGGTCGTCGGCTCCAAGAGGACACTTAATTACTTCGAAGGAACTCATCAACTTAAGGGCCGCAACAAGGGCATGAAGACAAATTGGATGATGCATGAATATATTTCCACACATCATCCAAACTCTATCCCTCATCCTTCAAATCCTTCCTCAAAGATGGTAAGTCGTTCATATTTGATTTGCAAATCGTAGGGACTTTAATTTTAAGACATTATTGCAATAGATTCGAGCAATTTAAGTACAAAATATAAGATGAGATAATGACTTGAACCAATCAAATGTATTGCAGGTAAATACTAGTATGTGACTTACGGTTGTACTCACATGTTTAGTTTCACCCATTTCTTTAAAATTTATAGAGCAATCATATGTTAATTTTTGTTTGAATTTTATTTTAAGAAATTGTTTCATATATGATTAAAACGAAAATAAATTAAAAAATTTACAAAAATAATACTAAGCTACCTCCGCCTCAAAAAGTTTGTCATATTGATTTTTCTCGGTCAATGATGACAAACTTTAGATAATGATACTACTTATTATCTTTGTATGCATGCTATTCATACAATTTATACGTTTTATAATAATATTTTTAATAGGGAATATTTTGATATAATTTTCATACTTTGATATAATTTTCGTAGTATCATTGGTCAATCTTCAATATCTTTGACTAAGAAAAGTTAAAGATATTGAGAGGGAGAGAGTGAGTACTAAGTAAGAGTTTATTCTCAATATAACATTTATTAGATTCTTTTAAACAAATTGTTCTGTCTATGTCTTACTCTCTTCGTCCCATTTTATATATCCTACTTTCCCTTTTTAGAAAGAAATACTCCGTATGTGATTTAGATCATTTCATTTTATTATACTTAAACCTTAATCACAACTTTTACTTTTTCAACTATTTTATGAATAATCACAAGTCCAAGTGAGACACATAAAACAAAACGGGACAGAGGTAGTATTACTTTTATAGTTTTATTTAAGGAGTTCTCTCTTTAATTTTTGGTACGCTATTGCAGAAGCTGGATGACTACGTTTTGGTCAAGATATACCAAAAAGCTGGAACGACTACCCCTCCTGAGAATGAAGACATCATCAATGATAGTATGGAGAATAAAGATGAAATGGGGATGGTGAGTTTGCCTGATAAGAAGCAGCAGGTGCTGGAAACATCACCAGTGGAGCTGTGGTCCTCTTCTGATGGAGCAGGTTTGATGCTAGGATCATCAGAGCTATCATTCCAATATAATGAAAGTGATGATCTTCACATCCAGCTTACCTATTCTACTCCTACTAACCCCCCGCCGCCTCCGCCTCCACAGACGATGCAACATCACCATGAGATTAATAGAGAGGCGGCGGAGGAACTTCTACGCCGCCGGGGGAGCAACCACACCCGGCTGCATGATCACAGTTGGCCGGCAAAGACCATTATTTCGCCAGCTGCGGCTTCTTGCAGATACCCATCGGCGCCGCCCTGCTATGATTTTGGGATCCCCTTCATCTGGCAAAATGATCAAGGCCTACCTCCACTCCTGCATCCTAGTCGCCTAGTAATGCCCACTCGTGCTGCTTCTGCGGTGTACCCACCGGCGGCTGACGGCAGAGGTTTTCAAAACGGAGGCTGCCAAGGAAACCCTTTTGCTACCACCTCTTATTACCCAAAAGAAGATGTGTGGGAACTACATGGTTTAGTTGCTGCTGCTATTAATAATAATAATAATAACAACACCAACAACAACAATAGTAATAATAATAATAAGCCTGCAGCAGAAGGTGTGGCAGATATAGGTGAAGCTCCTCCTAATTATAATAAACACGAGAAGTTCGTTTAATGGTACTCCCTCTATATTAGTTGTCTATTTGTCTTTCGCATGGTTTAAGATAATTATTGTAAACATTATAAAAGATAAGATGAGATGTTTGATATTGTAGCGGTCCGATCCTGTAGTGATACTTAATGGTACTGTACTTGCATTTTGAGTGAGTTTCTTTCCAAAAAGAGAAATTAAATGAGACAACTAAAGTGATATAGAGGGACTACTATTCTTTAATTTCTAGATCAGAACTTGATACTTTAGGCTAAACGTACTGATCGAACAGCTTCTATCTAAGTCGAGTTTGTAATCTTTGTTTGTATGAGTGCATGGTTATAAATTAAGTGTTGCTCCGTAAGAAATTGCTCCAAAATATGAATGTAAAAAAAACATGCAATATTGCAATGCATGCATGCATGAGTAACGTTAACAAATACTACTAGAATCAAGTACAGTATGTTAAATTCTCATTATAGAATTTATGTAGTCTTATTATATATAAAAAAGAGAATATAATTGCTATAGAAATTAAAGGACTAAAACATACGGAGTATATAAAATATAGAAATAAGACTACTTATGTTTTATTCACAAAATATGACTTATTTAATTGAGCGTATCAAAAGTACAATCTTATCTTTACAATGTGGTGTTTATGTTTTAATCATATTTAAGAAATATTTGTCTAGTTTTGTCTATGTCATAATTTGACATTATCACTTATAATCAAGTGATGACACTTTCAATGTCATGATTGGTAATATTTTTCAAGCATGGTAATGATTAGATACTTTTGTGTGTGTGTGTATATCAATCATCATTTGCCCCAGTGCCACAAAGGCTCCCACCTACGGTGGGGTAAGGGGGGGTCGGATGTACGCAGTCTTACCCTGTACTAAAGCACAGAGAGACTGTTTCCCGATGATCCATAGTGAAAATTGCGACCAAAATTGCATGGACTGACCGCTACTTCATAACAAAGAAGCGCAGACAATTAGGTGAGCCATTTTGCTTTATTCCATCATATTCTCAAGCCAAAAAATAATGAATCTTTGGCTCCATTGCAAATGATGAAAAGATTAGATACTTGTATATATGTGAAAAATATAGTACTACTATTTTACAAAAGGAAAATTGTCTTAAATGTGTTTGTCATGTTTTGATAGTACCAGACTTTAAAAGGACAATATTTTCACCACTTGATTATAATTACTCATATTTAGGGAATAAAAGCATAGTCGTCATATTTTGGAATTCTCAAACGTGTTTACTCCAATTTTGGAAATTTTCACTTATAAAATCACACTGTTTTACTCATTTACTGTATTTGTGTTAAAGTTTCCTAAAATAGTTTAATTAAATTCTACAAAAGGTAGTAATAAAAACTGTTAAGTTCTTAGTTTGAGGTAGTATTTATATACTTGTATTTATATACTGGTGGAGGTAGTATCTATCTTGTATATATTTCTTCCATTTCGTAATTAAGTTCTTAGTTTGATATCACATGTTTTTAGACAAATTAAATAATTCTCTATCTTTGCATTCCAATTTGTTTTTCAAAATTATCTATATTGATTATTCTAAAATTATTTTCCACTTTCTATTTTAGAAATAAAAGTGAATAAATTGACGAACTTACCTTTACTTTTGTCACATTTTCTTTTACCTAAATGACTCTATTTTATGGGAGAAAGAGCAAATTATTAAAGCAGTTCTTAATTTTTAATCTTTATTAATTCCAACTTTTCATGTCAAATTTGGATGGAGGGAATATTTAATTAATTTTCCAATTATTCCACTCATCAAATTTATGATAGAGAAAATTAATAATGATGTACTTTTCGATCATAGGAGGATTATTTATCAAATAATAGATCATATGAGTATGATTATTGTTCACATATTACTAAACAGAGAAGTGGTAGCCTTATTGCATGATATCCAAAAAGGAAGGTGTTAATTTACTTAATAATCAATTCCGTGACAAAATTGCACAAATAGGACTACATTTTTTAAATACCCCCAATAGGACTATTTATGTATTTTTTGGGCAAATATACTCATGTAGCTTTTGAGATGTTTTAGTTAATAATAAAGTCATAAAAATAATAAAAAATCGTAAAAACTAATAAAACTAATAAAATATTTATAGAATAAACATTTTAAGTTTTTTTTAAAATTAAAATTAAAAAATTTATTAAAAATGTAAAAAAAAAACACCGCCACCTCAGCCACCAGCTCCCATCACCGGAGGAAATCTGCCAACATTTTTAGTAAGCCATAATGATGACAGATTCAATGAAAATTTTGGCATAATGAAGAGTAAAAATGCCATCTTCTTGGCATTATTAAAAAAATGGCATTTTTTATTTTTACAAAAAGTGGCAGAATTTTCACCGATCGGAGGTGGTGGTGCTGGGAGGCAGTGAGAAAGGTATTCTTTTTTTTAAGGGTTTTTACTATTTTTTTAAAACAATTCAAAAAAAAATTAAATTTTTTATTTCATAATTATTTTATTAATTTTTACTATGTTTTTTTATGATTTTTTACTATTTTTAGGATTTTTTTTATTATTTCATGAATTGAAGCATTTCATAATGAATTAATACCTTTAGGGGTATTTAGGGTAGAAAATCAATGTTTAATCCTATTTGGGGAATTTAAAATATAGTAGTCCTATTTATGCTTTTTAGGGACTCATTAATTCTATTTAGGACATGCAATAACTATTTACTTAATTATATATGGGACAATGAGAGTATGTGGCATGTGGAGTTAAAGATACTTTTCGTAAATAATAAACACAAATTATATGCATAAACATATACTCTATTCATCCTATAAAACGTACATTACTTTTTTTTTACTCCAGAGGTCTGGGGGAGGGGGCTGGGGGTCTAGAGTAATCAAACTCACTCCATTGAGTTTCCAACTCTTGTGTGCCTAACGTGATTCGAACTCGAGACGTCCCATTAGACCTTGAACAATGGTGACCAGAAATTAATCTGATACGTAGTACAATACTTAGATTTTGTAAAACTTTGATACATGATATGAATAGAAGATTCAATTTTATGAAAAAAGGTCCAGACATTTATAGTATTTATGATCCATCAGTTAAGCTCATATACTTTAAAAAGTACTCCCTCCGTCCCGAATGATAAGGCACTATATAGTTTACGATGTTTGACCGACGACATTGCAAACAGATCTCTGTCCGCACTCAAATTATTTTTAGAAAAAAGGGATTACATACTCAGAAACTACATTGAAAGTTTTACAAAGTCGCAAAAACCAGAACCAAATTTGACAAAATTTTGATATATAAAGTGAGAGATTAAGAGTGATTTGTGTTGACCAAGCGAATATGAAAGATATCTTACAATATGAGATGGAGAGAGTACTATATAAGTTCAATTGCTTCGATAACCGATCATTCTAGTCATTTAATCAATTTTTTTTACTTGTTATAGCAGGATTAGTTAGGTTTTGAAAAAAATCAAACATTTTTAAACCAAGAAAAAAAGAAAAACAACTGTAAAAATATAAGAATATCATCATTTTTTTGTGATTTTGGATTTATTTATATATTCTACACTTTTAAAAAGTTTTTACATTTTATTTTAATATTTTACATTTTAATTTATTTTTGTATATTTTTATTTTTGTCTTTTTATTTTCATAATGTTCAATTATATATCTCTAGTTTTTAAATTTTACTATTTTTATATTTCCATCTCACAAAATTTCATCAAAATTTTCTACCTGAAAACTTGTCTAACCGGCTTGGCCTTAAAATCGAATCATTGCTCATAATCTAATTATATTAAGTGTAGGAATGGACCGGTTCCGGGCCAGGCCGGGCCTGACTCTAGGCAGGTTCAATTTTTTTGTTTTTTGTTTTGCTTTTCTAATTAACCCCCGACCCCCCCCTGCCCAACCCCCCCCCCCCCAAAAACACCCAGCCCAACCCGGGAAAAAAAAAATAGAAAAACAAAAAAACCAAAAAAGGCCCGAACCGGACCGGTTCCTATTTTCCATGACTCAGACCCGCCCTTAGTAACACCTGGTTCGGGCCTAAGCGGACTGGTTCAAGGCCCGATTTCCAAACATTGCCGGGCCGGGCCGGGCCACGGGCCGGTCAGCCCGGAACTGGTCCATTCCTAATTAAATGTACTATAATAATATTATAATATTATTAATTTATCACGGAGTATTATAACTAAAACCAAATGTGACCTCAATTTTACACTTAGAACCGTCTCCAAATTCATCGAAAATGGTGTACACATTTGTCTTTTTCACAGTTGTTTGTCTTATAAGTTACTGGCCGCGTTTGTATATCAGCGGTCCGCCAAAAATTGGAGGGTTTGACTCTTTCGGCGTGTTGGACCAGTGAAACCGCTGAATATCCGGCGTTTGGTAAACAGAGGTTGAGGATAACGATTCCTCTGAATCCGCCGAAAATCAAAACGCTGGGAATCGCAGCGTGAAGGTTTTGGCGGTTTGGAATAATTACTAAATTCTCGCCCTTGCCCTCCGATCTTCCCAAATACTTTTTCGTTTTATCCATTGAAGCATACGTTCCGATTGCGCTTTGTTCACAGAGTTATTTTCTTCCGCTGATTTCTTCTTACTGAACGTGTAGTGCTTTCTCCTCTTCAAAGGTAGGTATTAATCATCTCCTCTAGAACAGCCCGTTGGGATCTCGTTTTGATTTCTATGGGTATTGCTATTTGTAAATTCATAGACATAAGACATATAACTCTCGGTAGTTTGCTATGTTTGTACTCTGTAGGTCTTCATAGATTCAATTATCTGTTGTTAATTTTGCTTGTTTATTGTCCATATTATATTCCTTGTTTAATGTTATTTGCCAATTGATATTGGTTCTCTAAAACATACGGAGTATATTTTTATATAAAGTTTTTGATAGTTATGATTGTTTGAAAGGTCTACCTGTATGATAGTTATGTATACTGTACTTAAATTGTTCCTTCTTTCCAAACAAGGTTTGATAGCAGAACAGGTCTTACTATGTAGTATGTTTTGCTTAGAACAGGTTTTAGTTGTTACATACTTATATATGCATATACTCTGTTTACTGGTACAACTCCTGCTCCATATATATACTACATATATGGAGTATCTATGTGTAGATACTCAGTATATACCCATGCTAGTAAGCCCCTGCTTCTTTGACACTTTCTAACTTAACAAGTGTATAACAGAATGTCAATAGTCTGCTTTGGTATATTCTTATTTGGATGTGGTATAGATGAGGTAAAGTCAAACACTAGACTAGTACAGTATAACAGAATGTCAA